CATCGTCACCATCATCATCGTCATCATCATCGTCATCATCATCGTCATCATCATCGTCATCATCTTCATCATAGTCATCATCATAGTCATAATCATTATCTAATCATCATCATAATCGTCTTCGTCATCATCATCGTCGTCGTCGTCATCACAGCCTACAATTCAATCAGCTAACCTAAATTCCTGTTCAGATCCCAGAGAGCCTTTTTTAATTTTCGGATACTTTCCTCTTTTGCCATCATCATCAACACTCCCGCCCCCAGCAACACTATTACCACCACCACCATTACCAGTGACGTCATCTTCATCGTCTTCATCGTCATCATCATTTTTTGTCCTCCAATCATTTTCACCCTCTTCATCGTCTTCTTCCTCTTCATCATCATCATAATCGTTATCATACTCGTTACCGTTGGCTTTGTTGTATTCCTGGATTGAATAATAACCGTAAGATGATGATGACGATGTTGTTGTTGTTGCTGCTGCTGCTAATGTTGTTGTTGTTGTTGCTGCAGTTGTTGTTGACGTCGTTGTTGACGTAAACCATTGTTGCTTAGGTAGATTAAAATTATCCATCAATCTTTCTGAGTAGTTGTCCTGATATCTGGTGTATGAACTAGAAGAAGAATCGTACGTAGAGGTAGTTGTTGTTGCTGCTGCTGCTGTCGTTGTGTAGCTGTTGTAGTAGTAGCTGTACAATGATGTTGTTGTTGTTGTTGTTGTTGTTGTTGATGTTGTTGTTGTTGTTGATGTTGTTGTTGATGTTGGGGCATATAAAGCGGAAAATAATTCATCACCGCTTTGCTGATGTTTGGTGGACATCTGTTGAGATGATTTATAATTCGTTGAATAACTCGGAGAAAATGTTGAAGATGTCAGCGGGGAAAATGTTGCTGCAACATTTGTTACCGATGAAAAATTCGACGTCATTGTGGATGCGGTTGTAGTGGCCGATGTGTCTACGCCCATAGCTCTCGCCATGACGGCTTCTATTTGGTATCTTTCCTCTTCGCTTAAGTAACTCAAATCGATATCTAACATTGGAGCTTGTGGCTGTTGTTGTTGTTGCTGTGTTTGTTGTGGTTGCGTTTGTTGTTGTTGTTGTTGTGAAAATAAGTTGTTGTTGTTGTTGCTGTAACTTGCTGACGTCATTGTCGTCGTAGCTGTTGGTGGTTGTTGTTGCTGCATTGGTTTAGTCGTTTGAGCAAATATTGATGAGGTTGATGATGACGACGATGAGTAGAATGACGCTGACGAGTAAGACTGATAGGACGACGATGACGTCACGTTGTTGTACGCGCCATACCCATAAGATGATGACGACGACGACGATGATGACATCGGTAAATAGGGCGAAGATGACGACAATGATGACGAATGATAACCAGATGACGACAATGACGATGATGATGAGTACAATGAGGATGATGATGATGATGATGGTGGTGATGATGATGATGGAATCTTACCGAGTGTGGATGACAAAAATGATGATGGAGAAAAAGTGCTAGAAGACTGAGCTGATGATATAGCTGATTGTAACGCGTCCACCATCGGCGTGAGTTTATATGGCAAGAGAGATGATGCACCCTTCAAAGAGCTCAACAATTTCGATTGTGGTGATGACGTTGATGATGATGGCAAAGATGATGACTTCATTGATGATGATGATGAGGATGATGATGAGGATGATGATGCTGCAGGAGATTGTTTCACGTTGAAAGGTGATGATAAAAATGATAACGGTGATGGTGAAGATGACGATGTCGTCGTCGTCATTGCTACTGTTGTCGCTGTTGGGTAAAGAGATGAAGATGAGGATGAAGATGACGAAAATGATGAAAATGACGACATTGTTGTTGTTGTCGCTGCTGCTGCTGCTGCTGCTGCTACTGATGTTGATGCTGGGTAATACGGCGATCTTGTTGATGTAGTCGGTGGGGAAAAGTATGGAGACGTTGCTGATGTTGTTGTTGCTGAGTAATAAGAATCTGGAGAATAAAATTGTTGTTGTTGTTGCTGGTATGGTTGATATTGTTGCTGATACTGTTGTTGTTGTTGTTGTTTGAGGTTAGAATAGTACCCGCTGTAATCATTGCTCCCGTCCAAACCATCAACACTACCATATTTTTGTTGTTGTGGCTGTTGTGGTTGTTGTCGTTGTGGCTGCTGTTGCAACGTTGACGTCAGCAACGAGGAAGAAGATGTAGTAACTGTGGCATCACGGAAAAAAGACAAGGGATCGAAACCGGAAGCGGAAGAAGATGACGAGTGGTCTGACTTTCCTGAAAATCCGGTGTGTTGGGATACAAGTTGCTCCGTACTGCCAATGGCAGACGAGAGTAAACTGCTGAAACTTTGGAACAAGCTCATGGTAGCATTGTGATGACGATGAAAAAAATGATGATATCAATGATGTTTTTATTGGTGATAAGGATGTCGTAATTTTGCTGACGATGATGGTGTTTGTTGATGATGGTGGTGAAGATGAAGAAATTGATGATGATGATGACTATTGTGATGAGGGAACATTAAACTGATGATGGTGTTGATGACATACTGACAATGCAAATGAAACCTCGTTACTTCGTCAAGCAGTCCGCATTTTTACAATTTTTAACTCAATTACAACATAAAAATATTTTAATTTTTCACAAAAAAATAATTTCACTTTTTCTTTTTGCCCACGATCTCTCTATTCTTAATTTTATTCATTTTTCAAAAAAAAACATTCAAACATTCGATCAATCAGTCGACCCCAAAACTTACATACATAAAAAAAAACACCGTTAGGTTCTCGCGGACAGAGCCGATTCAATATGAACGCATGCCTGCGTGCTTGAGAGAGAGAGAGAGAGAAAGAGAGAGATAGAGAAAGTGAGAAAGAGGCGGAAAGAGGGCAACTGAAGAGAGAGAGAAAGAGAGAGAGAGAAAGAGAGAGAGAGAGAAAGAGAAGAGAAAATGAAAATAAATCAGAGGGGCTAGTAAATGAATAATTTTAAATCGAATTATATATTGCGATACGACACGTTGTTCTTATTTCCTTTTTGCTGATTTGTTGGATTTTGTGCGTGTGTACGTGTGTGCGTGTGTACGTGTGTATGTGCGTGCGCGTGTGTGTGTGTTTCTATATATGTGTGTGCGGTGCGTGTGTGCGTCTGTGTGAATTAATAACACACTAATTATTAATTAATTATTAATATTAATTCATTTATGGCATTGTTGTTCCACGTTCGATTAACTTAGGTCTTTTCAATAATACCAAAACTGAAGGAACGACATTAGGCTGCAGGGCTTTTGCTACCTCCTTCTCTCTCTCTCTTCTCTCTCTCTTCTCTCTCTCTTCTCTCTCTCTCTTCTCTCTCTCTCTCTCTCTCTCTCTCTCTCTCTCTCTCTCTCTATACTTTGCATATAATTTTATTTTGCAAAAATTTGTATTAATTCGAGTATTGTTGCATGCTGATGCCTCTAGAATACGCAGGCTACTTGTGGAACCAATGGGGGACTCGAAAGTTGTGGCAGTAGCAGTAGTAGCAGCAACAACAGTAGCAGCAGCAGCAGTAGTAGTAGTAGTAGAAAGAAAAATAGTAGTAGTAGTAGCAGCAGCAGTAGTAGTAGTGGTGGTGGTAAAGTAATTATGCCAGTAATTGAAAAACCTGGTGACATGTTGTTAGTAATTATATGATCGATTTCTCATCATCGACACAACAACCATACAGAGTGAGAGATGGACTGACAGGAAAAAAGTGAAAGAATAGAAAAAAGGAGAGAAAGTGAGAAAAAAGAGATAGATATAGAGGAATAATTAAAAAAAATAGGTTGATGATTTTTTTTTACAATGGCACCAAACCCACACACAATGCTGTTTTAAATTCATAAATGCACACAAAATACGCACACACGCACACGCACACTCACACACACAGACACACACACACATACATACACACACACAAACATATACATATTTATTTATATATATACATACATACACAAACACACGCACACATACAAGTCATCAATAAAATAAGGAGATGGTAACTAAAGCACCACAACATGCATGCAAGAGAGCTATACTCAAAATAGGAACTCTACTACCGCTGCTCTGTGCCACGTACCGCGTGTACATCGCAGTTTGTGTCTACAACATAAGTGTACATCACTTAAATATGTACGCCTGTATGTGTGTATGTATGTGTATATATGTATCTGTATGTATGTTTGTGTATATATGTATATGTATGTAATATGTATGTATGTTACAAAAATATGTGTGTGTGTGTGTCTGTGTACATACACGGATGTTGCGTTTGTGTGTACGTATCAGTGTACGCATGATGTGTATTTATACTCATACCTATTTATTCATTTATATGAGGATGAATAGATCACAGCGCTGCTTGTTTTATCATGCAAAAACATAAAAACAGTTTTAAAACATCACGTACACACACACACACACAGAGACAGACACACGTGCGCATACACATACACACACACACAGACACACATATATATAATTTTTACTCTTATTATTATCATTAACGTCGGTGAAATTAGATTTTTCGGAGATTAAAAAAAAGATTTTTCTTTCTCCCTTCGGACGAAATTTATTTACGGCTGAAATACGCCTGTGCCTCTGTGGCTATTTGTAGGTACTGTTGTATTTTATAACGTTTCTGTTTTAAACTTCTCGTATTGTGTATGTATGTTCGTGTTGTGTATCTGGTAAAATTATCTTCATGTATCTCTATGTACCCTTGATATTTTGCCTTGCCAGTTCTTTTCCTCCGTTGTGTCTATCATTCTTGTATATCTCCATTGTATCTTCCGGTTTTTATAATGTATGTATCTATTTTTATGTTGCACGCACCTATTTGTATGTTGAATGTATCCATTTGTGTATCTAATGTATCTAATTTGTATCGAACGAAACGTTGCTTAGAAGTTTTACAAAATTTTTATTCGTAATCCAATAAACAATTAATGTCTTCTTGGCCTCTCAATCAATCACTCGAATAAACGAATGAAAAGAAGAATGAATGATTGATTGATTAAATAGACGTAAGGATGAATGGATGAAATGAACGAACGAACGGATAAATAACCGAATGAATGATAAACCGATTGTATAAAATGATAAACAAAATAAAATGATATATATATCATAAGAATGTTATATATTATACAACAAAAATATACATTTAAACTGAATTATTATTAATATTACTATTATTAATATAAACATTATCATTATTATTGATTATTATATATTTGTTGGTTTAGAAAAAGCAGTTCAAAATTAAGTCATTCACAAAATTCTTCATTCATGCACTCATTTATTCATTCATTTATTCATTCACTCATTCATTCACTCATTCATTCATTCGCTTGTTCATTCATTTCGGGTTGTTGTTGATGGTCGTAACTTTCCCTGATAATTTCTCTTGCAACTTCTTCAGGTTGGTCTGAGGTTGACAAAAAAAGATGTTACATTTATTATTATTATTCTTATTATTATTATTATTACTATTATTATCATCATCATCATCATCATTATCAATAACATCGTCCTAATCATCGTCAGAAAGAAAACATCAGCAACATACAGACGACATTAAAGACATCACCACCATCATCAGATCACCATCATCAGATCACCATCATCAGATCACTATCATCAGATCATCCGTATAATGACCAACAACGCCAACCTCACCACTCCCATTCATCCTCATCCTCATCATCCTCATCCATCATCATCATCATCATCACCAGATTAACATCAACACCATCCACACAAGAAACCAGCCAACCTTATGTAGATCAGACAGCATCTTATGTTTCTTGAGCATCTCAACTGATGTAAAAGCCCTTTTGCATAGGAGGCATGTCATTTTAGCGTAGTCGGTCATTTTTTCTTCCAAAGCCAGCAGCTCTCGCTGGGCTGTAGTAGCTGGACCGTCGTCATCGTCGTCGCTATCACTCCCTCCGTATGAATCAACTAGCTTTGACTGAATGCATTGTTGTTGTTGTTGTTGTGGCGACTTTTTGATGTGATGGCAGTTTGTGATGTTGTGGCGCGATGATGGCAATGGTTTGGATGAAAATTGTTTGCTGGTTGTTTGTTCGCTATTGGTTATAATAATAATAATAGTAATAATAATAATCACCAACCTCATGATTACCATCATAACAACAGCAACAACATCCATAAGACAACAGCAACAACAACAACAACAACTTTAAACAAAAACTTACCAAAACATTGAGATTAGATTTTTTGCTACCGCCACTAGACCCAGCCTCGCCACTGCTGCCAGGAGTTTCTTTCCCTAATTTTATGTCGATCTTTCCTTTATTAGTGAACCCAACATCAGATGCCATTTTGTTGTTTGCAGCGGAAATTTTTCTGGGCGGGGCCATGAACGGCAGAGGCTTTTTGAAACCGCAATCTTTCTTTTCGTTCTGCTGTTTCGCCCATTTTTCCATTTCCTTATTTGCAGTTTATTTTTTCGTCAATAAAATTATAATATTATCATTAACGCATACGTAAAGACACACACGCACACAAACACGTACAGACGCTTACATACACACACGCGCACACAAAGACAACAGATTAATGAGACACATTTAAACATGTCAACACTCTCTTGCTCTTTTCCACCTCTCTCTCCTCTCTCTCTCTCTCTTTCTCTCTCTCTCTCTCTCTCTCTCTCTCTCTGTCTTATTTAGACACAAAAACACACACAGGCTAATAATAACGGCAACAGTAATAATAACAACAATAATAAAAATAATAATAACAAAAATAAGAACAATAATAACCAATGCAATCTTCTTGGCTTCTTGAACTTTCTTCAGCTTACCTTCTTCATCCTTGTCCAATGGCGGTAACTCCTCAGAGTCACCGCCACTAGCTTCATTATTATTATTATTATTATTATTATCGTTATTATTATCGTTTGGTACTTCTACGTATGCGTTCACTGTGTCGTCCCAGTACAAGAAGCACGACGTCTTGTTGTCGTAAAAATACTGTTGTTTGATCATATAATTGAATGGTTAATTAATTGATTGAAAGTTGTAAACACACACACATAATACACACACATAATACACACACACAATACACACACACACAGAGACACACACACACAGAGACACACACACACAGGCACATAAGCCAACCTGAGAGCCCTTATCATAGTAGAGATCTGTGGTTGAATCGTAATAATAGCCAGACGTCTCGTCAAACACATACCTTGACTGATCTGGTGCAGCTAGTAATAATAATAAAAAATAATAATAATATAATTATTATTTTGATTATTATCTTGATTATGATTGAGTTATGGCGATGGCGAATGAAAAAACTAACAAATCATACCCAAATAATGCATCTTTGGGATTACTTGAGAAGATGACGACGACGATGATGATGGTAGTTGTTTATCATATGATGACGATGATGATTGCCTGTGAGGGGAAGAGGAAGAAGACGACGATGACGTATTACTCCTGCCGTAATATGATTGGGTGTCCGTTGGGGTTGGGAGGAGTGCCCCTGATGACGATCTTCTCGGCGGTGGTGGTGATGATCCTATTGACGATGACGTCAAGACGGTGGTGATAAAAACATGGCAAAAAAGATGATGATGAAAATAGGTCATTGTCATAATACAAAATAGAGAGAAATAATAATAATAATATCAATAATAATAATAAAAATAATAACAATAATAATAACAAACAAATAATAAAAAAAAAACTAACAACAATAACAATAATTTCTCACTTCTACTCCTAGAATTGTTGTCTCTATCATAATCTCTAACGCTATCCCTACTATGACTACTACTCCTACTGTGGCTACTACTACTACTTCTATTAGTAGTAGTAGTGGTAGCAGTAGTAGCGACATCATCGTCATGATCATCGTAGTTACCATCATCACCATCATCATCTAGTTCCTCTCCTTCCTGCTCTTTCAGCGTACTGATTGTGAATCCCCTCTTGCTTAGAGCATTTATACTGGAATGATGATGACGACGACGATGATGATGACGTCACTGATGATAATGAGGATGGTGTTGACGATATTGTGGTGATGAAGATAGTAGAAAAGATGAAACGAGAAGATGAGGATGACAACGAGCTCTACATAGTTCAATTTAAACTATCAAAATCCTCCTCACGGCTACCACCATCATCATCATCATCATTTCGATCCCCACCACTACACTAACAGATTCCGAAACGAAACTTTAGAGTAATTGATCTGGACAGGAGACCCGTCCACTTGCAAGGGGTGTCCAGCCTCCCTGACGGCGTCCATAATGGTCACGCTATCGCCGGAATTGTCCAGCTGAATGAAACCGAAACCGGCGCTAATTTTATCCTGGAAATTCCGAGCTATAAATACATCTTTTACAGTGACCTAGAAGTAATAAAGATGACATGTGACGATTTAAGACATGATCTGTTAGAGCTACAGATCACGAATAAGACAAGAATGATGATGATGATGCATGATGATGACGTTATTTGTGGTGATTTCTATAATAATAATAATAATAATAATAATAATAATAATAATAATAATAATAATAATAATAATACAGTAATGCACCTTGGTTGCGTAAAAGAGAACTTGTTTAACTCTAGCTTCATCAGTGAGTGTGTTCAAACCTCTGATCAGCATGGCTAGGTGGATTAATTAAATATAATTTTTTTCTCTTTCTCACTTTCTCACAGACACACACTCACACACACACACACAAGTTTTTCTCTCTCTCTTCTCTCTTTCACGCACATATTACACACTCATACATAATTAACTTTTCTCTCTCTTTCTCTACTTCATAAACACTCACAGATACACAAAAAAAACAACTTTTTCACAATCTCAGATATAATTCAACATTATGTATGATATGCATACTTTCGGTAGGCATGATTCCAATATAGTCGGACCCATCCTGGGCGACAACTTCATAATCTGTCTCTGTGGAAAGAAAAATGAATGAACTGTCTTTAAATATAAGTTTCTGCTAGCCAGTCAAACAACCAGCCAGCCATTTAAAAGACAAACGAATGTACAAATGAATGTACGAATGAATGAATGTACGAACGAATGAATGAATGCATGTACGAATGAATGAATGGATGAAATGATTCGATTTTTTCATCAGACCAGCGTACCCTCCCTTTCGAGTTTGCATTTGAAACACTTCTCTCTCCTTCTGAAGTTGATGCAGCCGCACTATCAGCAGGAAAATTTTCTCATTTTAATATGCAGACAAAATTATAACCTAACAAATTTATAACTAACAAAAACAACAGCAACAATCATCAATACAGTAAAAACTATTACAGAAAAGTTATTATCATAAAATACAATTACAAAGAAATAAAACCCATCTAACCTTGTGACACCTCCAATCTCCCTTGCAGATAACAGGCGGCATGTCGGGGACATTTTTATTAGCGAGACCCAGCCCCAGCCCTCCAAACTCCCCTACTTCTCCTGCCCCACTACCTTCCACTCCTCCAGCGCCGGCACTTTCGCTCTTTGAAAAACTCAACGTCGTATTAACTCCGTCGCAAAAGTTCAGAACGCCCTGTTTAGATTATTGGTTTTGTTTTTTTATTTAAAATGGCGACGGTGGGGGTGATTTCGTTTTTAGCGCTCCAGTCGCCGTGAAGATTGAGAGTTTGTCGTGAGTGAAGCATGGCTAGTTGTGCAGTGCAGTGTGATCTAGAGGTGGTCGTAGTTAGTAGAGCTGGTGCTGGAATAAGTGGCCGAAATCTGCAAATCGGACACAAGACCCTGACTGTAGTGAGAGTTGTTGTGGGGAAAAATGGCCACAAAATTGCCATAATCTTTGCTGTTGTTGCTGAAATCAAAATTTCCAAGAAGCCGTTGATAGTGATGAGTCTTCATCCTCAATGGCGTTAACCGACTTAAATAAAATGGCTTAACTTACTTTTTCAAAAGTATTTTCATTTTAGATTGAATTTTTGACTGCAAAAATCTTTAAAAGTATTGTTTTGTTCAAGCTCAGATGTTATTAAGTCTATATAAGAGTAGAAGTAAAGACGACAAGCACAGACAGAACAAAGTAGATATCAGGATAGCCAGAGATTAGTAAATATTTTACGTTCAAATAATTTCATTTGTAACCCTTTTTTCAACAAAACCTCATTAATTTTTACACAAAGTCGATATGTAACTGCTGATTATTGTAAAGCTCAAATGAATAACTAACTTAAAATCCTGTATAACCATTCAAAAGTGTTACCTTGCAAAGATTTCCGTGGAGTAAAAAAATCAATAATACCTTGAAAAACCCACATCACATAATCGACAATTCAATAAAATATAAAAAACAATTGAACACACACGTGTATATATATATATATATATATATATATATATATATATATATATGAAAATATATATATATGTGAAAATATATATATATATATGTGTGTGTGTGTTTGTGTGTATGTATACGATCCCCAGGTTTTTATATAGGACCTTTGTTTGAGACATCCATCGATTAGCATCTGAAGTCGTATAGAACTCGACGAAAGCAAAACCTCTATTCGAGCCTGCAGAGATGGAATAAATATTATTTCGTATATCCATATGGTGTTCTAAATAAAGGTTTTATATATATATGTATTTATATATGTATATATATGTATATATAAATATATATATATGTGTGTGTGCGTGCGTGTGTATATAATACTTGTAAGTTCAATTTCAAGATATATATACATTTGTAATTGGCATGTGTTTGTGCGTTAATTATATTCTCTTAGTATATCTTGTGTTTTGCTTGATATATATATATATATATATATATATATATATATATATATATATATATGTATGTGTATGTTTTTAAACATTTTCAAATAAGTTTGTAGGTATATAACAAAGAGAAAAATATGTTGGGCATTAGATAAATGTTAGTATATATGTTTTGGTAAAAAAATGCTTTTATACTTTTTTACTGAAAACTTGAAAGCCATATATGACTAAACAAGCTCAACTTAACTGCCAACTCTTTGCCAATATCTAATAACTAACGCTAATAAATTCTCTCAGTTTCATTATTAATATTGAAAATTTGATATGTCCTGATAGCTAAACTTAACGAAATAATTTCCAAAAAGTAAATTTATATAATTCTCGCAATATTTTAATATCACACTGGTTATTTTGCTCCAGCTAGTCGGTAAATTTTTAGGTTTCTTTTTCATTTCTCACTCTATCCCACTATTATACGCTTTACAGAAAGGCAAAGGCAGCACTGACACCACACATTCATTATATTTTATACAGGGATCAGGTCTAGAGTGTCTATGCAATGGCACAAACGCTTCCCTGCCAATGTCAAATTCAGGTACTATAGTTCAATTCCCACAGGTATTTGTGAATAACATAGTAAAATAATCATAATAATATTAGTAATTATAATAATAATAGTAATAATAATAATGATGATAGTAATTGTAATAATAATAAGAATGATAATAGCAATAATAGATACAATACAAACCCAACTTTATAAATAAGTTTGAACGTCAGAATGAATTATAAAAAGAACCCCTTAATGAAATGCATGGCGATCAATTTGCGCTCAGATGAAGCAAAAAATTATTTACTAATACAAACATACATACATACATACATACATACATACATACATACATACATACATACATACATATTCATGCATACATTATTTATATATATCCATCCATACATACATCCATACATACATACGTACATACATACATACATACATACATACATACATACATACATACATATGCTGTTCTAATTATATATATATATATATAATAAGGCATAAGGCCATTACGTATACAATTTTCTTTAAATTCTATTGCTATAGTATTATTTATTAATAAACTAGAATAATTAATAATACAACAGCGATAAAATTTAATAAAAATTGTTTATATATATATATATATATATATAGAAAATATGAAATGTTAATATATAGAAATAATAATTCATACTATGGAAGTAATGTAAAGCAAACACCAACAAAACAAAACAAAACAAAACAAAATAAATTAAAATCATATACATAGGTATATAAATAACATAGTATATAGATATACATATGTATATTTTTTCATATATATATATATATATATATATGTGTGTGTGTGTGTGTGTGTGTGTGTATATATATATACTATACACGTATATATATATATATATACTATACACATATATAGAATACAATGAACTCTTCTGGCTAAAAAAAGAACTTTTTTCACCAGCGGACAGTTTTGTGTGCAAGAAATTTCTACTTCAAAACAACTCCAAAATAAAGTTATAGGAAGTCACAGTCACTTGCTGTAGTAGCATCAACAATAGTAGTAACGATAGTGTTAACATTGGAAATAGATTTAGAACTAGTAGAGACCTAAATAGTATTAGAAATCTAAGGCACTCAGTAAAAGTAATTAAGTTGATACAGAGAGTAAGTACCGATAAAAGAACTTTAAAGGGAGTAAGCAGTAAACAAAGAAATAAGTAAATGGAATTCAAATTCAAATGGAATTTAGCGATCGAAAAAATCGGTAACACATCTCACCTGGATCTTTCTTCCGGACGATTCTGATATCCCTTGCTTTCAATCTGTACTGTCCCAAATTTTCCTTTATCTAATTATGTCGACCAATCAAAATACTTATGTTAATTCTAGGTTAATCAATTTTAAACGGTATATATATAACCAACCAATGAGAATGAAATACTTTCTAAGGTTACCAATCAATTTTATAAGTTTTTAATAAAAGAACCAATTAAAATTTGTGAAATAAATATGTACCAACCAATCAAAATGATTAAGATAAAAATAAAGTTACATTATGAACGTGAAAAGATCTTAAACTGCCTAACTTCAATAATAACATAATAAAATTTTAATTAGTGAAAGATAGAAGATAGAAAAAAAGTCTAACGTCAAATTCCGTGATGAATGTCGGCAGGCCGCCAATAAATATTGTACTGTTTATGTTACCACTACGATTACTTTGGTCTCTGGAAGAATAATTCTAAAAAAAATTGCTAATATGAGAAAAATGTATTTTTAAAAGTTAAATTATCATCATTAATCAAATGCCATCATCATTATTAACCATCTGTAATAATAATCATCACCACCCCAAATCATCACCATCCCCAATCATCACCATTAAAAAAACTTACACGATCATCTTCCTCATCATCATACTCATCTTGATATGACGATGATCTAACACTACCCCCACTACTACTATTTCTACTCCAGTAACTATTATCATCATCATTGGAGAAACCATAACTTCCTTGACTGTTATAACCACTACTGAAATCATTGTCACCAGCCCACCTCTTGCTTGGACCCCTTCTTGAATCCCAATCATCAAAATCTCGACGATCTCTTTTCTGACTTTCTCTTCTTAAATCCCTGACACAAGTTGAATTAGTCTCACTACAAACACTATTTTCGTTTGGATGAATTAAACAATTTCGCAATAACTTTAATTCTAATCCTAATGATTAGCAAATAATTTGATTTTTTATGTAGTTTGTCTTTTTTCACATTATTTTTAATACATTTTTCAATAATAAATTTAAATAAAATTCTATCACAAAAAACAGCAAAAACATTAGATAACGATTTGAACACGCAAATATTCAAACAAATAAATAAATGAAATCATTTTCTACAAAATCATCATCACTAACGTATCCTTGCTACCGCTGAAACTCCGGCCATTAGCGTTGTATGTAAAATTAGGACGATATCGGCGATCATTAGAATTATTAGAATAACCATCATTAAAACTGTTAAACGACATTTTGCCGGATTCTTATGTCCCCAATCAATCAATTAATCAATAACTAACTCTGATACCAGAACAATTAAATAGGCGTAAACGAACATTAATTAAGAAAAACGACAAGTATTTATTATTTTATTTTTTACGATGATGGAGATATTTAATAACGACACAAAGATAAAACAGTACGGAACACCGAAGCGAAAAGGTAAAACATTCATGCACAATTTTTAAAATATGGTCTGAAAAGTATAACCTACATATATATATATATGAACATTGATATATATATATGCACCACAAATAGAGAATACATAATATTTTATGATAATTGTAGTGATAACAACGATAACAATGCATTTAATGGCTAGGATATAAAAAAAATAAAACAATGTTAAACGAACGACATATGTGTGTATGTAATATATATATAGATATACAGTATAAGATTATAAATATGTATATGTATATAGTTATGGATGTACGTAAAATAAAATAAGATTCGTTAATACTACAAATTTAAAATAAATTTTGATGTAATTATAAATATATGCTAGCAATATATCATCTTTTATACAATCGACATCAACGTATCCGTCATCAACTCCATCCTCATCATCATTATCTGTTTCATCATCTTTAACGTCATTTCCATTGCCACATCTGCATTTCACATTTACGACCCAACGTAACTCCAATCATTCCATAATTTAGAGTATCATCTTAACAAATTATATCTTTATCATTATCAGATCATATTCAATGAACACGCGCACACACGCACTCACACACGCACGCACGCACACACACGCACGCACACACATGTATGCATTCATCAAATTTGTCATCACCATATAATACACGTAGTTCATTCACTATCATCAGATATCTTATAATCATTCTTCTCTTTTATTTTTCCCACTATTCGCATTCGCTGGCGAATTTCCGACTAAATAAGCATTTTTAATTTGTGTAGCAGCCGCCAGCAGTAAGATCAAAGGGCAAGCCAGACATGTGTACCACGAAGTTCCTGTCACCATAGAAACAAACCAGTTAGTGAATAGGGATGTGATAATTGACAGGGTGACCAGGATAAATAGGAGTAGACCAGATGTGGCGTGCATTAATTTCCATGTCGCCAGAGGACATATTTTGGTGGCCAGACTACGAAACCATAATATATTGGCCCCACCTGTTTAAAATTAGAAAAACTAAAAATAAGCTCAGTCAAAATAATGTTGTTGATAAAAAATATAAGTTTAAACCCTATAAATGGTTATTTTCTAATAAAATTTTAATATTTTTCTTTCATAAGATTAATTATAATTAATAATAATTAATGAAGATTAATTGTAGTTAGGGTTTGAACCTAAGCACTGCACAACAGAATAGATGATTGTAGCCAGACCAATCCATGCATGCCAAGACATGAGGTGTGGTTTCTCACTATCCTCCTTTACTTTGAATATTACCAGGTAACCTTTGTTGAAAATACAATGAACATCATTCTGCAGACTAAAATTTACTCTCATTACCAATTAATAATAACAATGTTATTACATTAACATCTAAAACTTTCAATTCATTTTTAAATGTACTATGTAGATATGAAAACTTGAATTATTTATATGTAACATTTTATTCTTAATGACAAAGAATACTATAACAAAAAACCTAATAAAGCAAGAACAGTTGAGCTGATCATCAGCAGCCAGTGGTAAAAAGTTTTAACTTTCCTGTTTGAACTCATGATTAAGGAACTCTGGGGTGAAAACACTAACAATCCTTGCATCATTATGAGGCAGAACTAATTTGGGTTTTGATGTTAATAGATTGTACATTCAACTTTACTTAATAAAATGTAAAATACATAAATCTTGCTTGCTTGTAATTTGTAATGTATGTTATAGATTTTAAAAGTAAATGACCAAATGCCACATCATATAATATTCATTGCTGTCAAACACAATGTAATGTTCTGTTCAGAGTTGTAAATATTGCTCTACTAAAACCTAATGTGTTGAAAAATAACCCAATATTGCATTGCTTGTAAAACTTTATATTATATATAGTTTTATTTTATATACTTCATTTATTTATATATATAATATAATTAAGAAGATTAATTTATTTACAGTAGCACGCGAACATAGAACTCTTCTAACTATTACAGTCTAACTTAGTAGATTTACTTAGTAGAGCCTAGCATTACATACTACATTACTGCCCAGAACATTACAAAAGTTTTTTTACACAGTAAAGTTCTGTAGTAAAAGGAGGTGCTAACAGCGACTGTCATAAGGGCTGGATGCCATGAAAACAGACCTGCAGGTGTTAATTTATTTAAATGTCAAAATTAGGAAAACATGGAGAATATTATTAGCTAGAAATGACAAATTAATTAAATAAAATAGTTAATAGATTTAATAAAAAAATTCAAATAAAAAAATTGAATTCGTGGCAGCACTCAAGAGCACTAACTTGAACCCGGAGAAGCCGTGTAGACGAGAAATCCAGTGAAAAGAACGCACACAAAATGAACAACCATTCTTTTAAATTAAAGGTTGAAACAATTTTTTAACGATATTTATACGCCTTTTTTAAAAACTCGACGAGCACATGCCAATTCACTTTTGAATTATGAAGAGAATGGACAGATATGATCAGAGTTCGGTTCAATCAAATCATTTTAAATTTAAATTTTAAATGTAACAAACAACAGATATTCAATAAAATTTTGAATTTATTATTTTATGAATAATTTTTTCATATTTATACTACTAATTTACTATAAAAAAAGAACTAAAATGTTGCAAAGTATTTTTTTAGTAATTAAAAGTTAATTATAATATAACATCAGTGAAACATGTGGCCCGTTAGCTCAGTTGGTTAGAGCGTCGTGCTAATAACGCGAAGGTCGTGGGTTCGATCCCCATACGGGCCACCAAATTTTTTTTCAATAGCCTGCCGCACTTGTTAAAAAGATATTTTCATTTTCATAACTAATTTTTTTTTAATCTGCCTATCTCATCAGTGAGATTTTTTAATGGCCTCTCTGGGGTCCACGTTGATAGAGCCAAGCGAGCAGCTTCTACTAATTAATTCAGCAGATTTGAATAAATAAAGTTAGTTGGCTTAATTACGAAATTGCATAGGTTTCTTTGATATCGATATTGGGGATATTCGTATAAAAAGCGAGCAAAATTTGAATATAAAAGCGCTTATAAATCTACGCATATTGGCTCAGCTTGGCTTGGCTCGGCTTGGAATTGGATGCTAAGCAAGGTGTGGTCTCAAACTATTTTGTGATATCGATGATGATGATTGTGACCTGACTGATTGAAAAGCATAAAAAAATTTAAAATAGGATGGAGAATTTGTTACTGAATCGTTGTAGGAAATGAAGTCATGCTAGCGGCATTCTATACTAAGTGAAATGTAGCCCCTCAACTTCCACACCAAGAGAGCAATCTTTTTAAAAATCTAGAAAACTGATAAGCATGAAAAGAAATAGATTGCGAGATATATATATATATATATATATATATATATATATATATACATATAAGCATACATACAAGTTTATTATATTTATATACATATATGTGTCATTGTTAGTCTATTAATTTAGTAATGATAAAAAATTGCTCCTAGCTTTCCATGTAACATTGAATAAGTATTTTGTATTAATCATCGCTCACTCAATTTTTATTTTTAGAGATCAAAGAAAAGTTTCTCCGTTGCATAATTTCGCTAAAACGTCTTCAAAGTCGAGAAAAATGGAATGATATTTCTTCGTTTTTGTTAATTTTAGTTGATTTTTTTATATTTTCTAACTTTTTGTAGTTGTCGATCGATCGTTACTTACTGCTATTGATTTGTTGTTTGTTAAGTGAAATTAGTTAAACCAGCACTTCAGATATCCTGATTAATAAAAAGGTTTTTTTAATTTTTTTAGATTAGTGGTGAGTTAGTGTTTTGTGTGTGGGGGTCTTACATTATGTTTGAGTGTCGTAATTCTGGTTTTTTTTATTTTATCAATGTAATTTTAGTTTATGAGAAGATTTTTTTATTTTTTTTAAGGTAAGATTTTTTTTACAAAATTTTTTTAGTAAGAACTGAACAGACTAAAAAATTATTGAACTCTAAGAATTTGCATAAGTTTTTTTAATTTTTTTATAGTTACTACTTCGAAATAAAAAATGAATATTCCTTCTTTTTAATTCTAATTTATTTTCAAAATTATATTACACATCTGTAGTAGATTGTAGTAAAAACAGTTTAGAAAGTAAAGTTAATCGTAATCACCCACTCCCTAGCTAAACTAAATCTAAACATTAAACAGAATCTGATAATTAAACCTAAAAGTACTTAAAGTAAAAAAAAAGATGGCTCTGTGGGCCCGTGTGCAGATGTTGGGTGACACGATGAGACAGATGCAGAATATATATGGGTCAAACTTCCCTATCGAAGTCAGACATTTCTTTGCCCAGTGGATTGAAAGTCAACCATGGTTAGAAATTTTGTAAATTTCTCTTTTATAATATCTTAAATTCATTTAAAAATATTTTTAATAAGAAATATTGACAAGGTTCAATTCTCTTGACTGTCTTTTTTTAGTAATATCAATAAATGTGTACTTACTATTAAGATTGGGAATGAATTTTATGTTGATATAACTCTGTATATGGGTTTATTTTCATTTATTCCATTTATTTATTAGTAAAAGTTGTCTTATTATGATGTTATAGTTAATTCTTGACATATCTTATGTTATTTTTATAAATATTTCTTTTAAACAAATGCAAAAAATATAAATTATTTTTACCTAATAAATCATTCCCTTAAAATCTGCTATTTATTAGTGAAATTAAATTATAAACAAATTTTTTTATGAAAAAAAAATCATGATTCCACAATATTTCAAGGCAACAAACTTGAATATATTTATATAATGTCACAAAAACTTTTCTCTAATTTTATAAAAGAATTGTCAAAATAATTAAAGTATGACATAATTAGTTCAAAAAATGATTATTTTGTAATAAATCACATTTTCAAAGTCTATTATTTGTTATAAAGCAAATGTCAAACAAACTGTTTCAAAAGAATAATGACCCCAATATTATTTAGACAATTTTTTATTCAATTCAACTTATTTTAATTTTTTTAAATCCAATAAAAGCTTGACTATGCAATGCTACGTCATTTTATATAGTTATTTTGTGTTGCATTATGTCATGCTAGGTTGTTTTATATTATGTAATATTACATCTAGTTATGTAATGTTTCAACAACATAATTCCTAATTTTTACAAAACAAAAAAAACAGGGCTGATTTCGACGAAGACAACCCAGAGAATGAAAAATTCGCCATCCAATTTAGCGAACAACTCATCAAAATGATGGAGGAGAAGGCTCAAGAACTTAGTAACGACGAAATGTTTCTGACAAAGTTAAAACTGCAAGAAAGTGCCGTGCAGTTTAAAAATATGTACAGCAGCAACCCAATGAGTCTCGTTAGGACTGTCAAAAATTGCCTAGCTATCGAGACTAAACTCGTTGAGCAAGCCGATTCGGTTAGATTATTAGTAAAGATGTGTTGGCTGGGGGGTGTTTATTGAGTCAGACGTGCTTTTTGGTTGTTGATGGATATGTGTTGGATGAAGATTAGTAATAGGGATGTGCGGTTAGATGATTAATAGAGATGTGTTAATTGGCAGCTTTTAATAGGAATGTGTTAATTGGCGGCATTTAATAGGGATGTGTTGTTTGAAAATTGGTTACAGGGATGTGCTGTAATGGAGTAATTAATGTAGTGCTGGATGGACCAAAGATATTATGATTAATCTTTTTTCCACACCGGCAAAGTTTTTTTAAACTTTTACCGTTGCTGATGTGATTATAGGCGGCCAGCAATGGCAAGCAGGTCAGTGCCCACAGGCAGATATGCGAAAGATTCGAATACATACAAAGATTCACTCAGGTTCATATAATACTACCACTACTACTACTATTACTACTACTATTACTATTACTACCACTTTTATTACTACTAGTACTACTAATACTATTACTACTACTACTACTAATACTATTACTACTACTATTACTACTATTACTACTACTTTTATTACTACTACTACTAGTACTACTAATACTATTACTACTACTACTACTACTAATACTATTACTACTACTACTGCTACTATTACTACTACTACTACTATTGCTACTATAATTGCTACTACTACTATAGCTACTATAATTGCTGCTACTACTACTATTACTATGTAAGAATAATGCTTATGCTGTTGATATGCACAATGTTGATGATGATGACAATTATAGTAATTAATAATAATAAATGATAATGATGATGATCGTGATGGCTACAATGCTGATGGTGTTGATGGTTACAATGATGATGATGACGATGACGACGACGACGATGATGATTTTTAGGAGACTGAGGCAGAGCTCAGACAAATTCAACACAAACAAGAACAATTCATAATACAATACCAAGAGTCTCTGAAGATAGCCAGTTAGTTATGATGGTGATGAAAAGGATGATGATGAATTGGAGGACGACATGGTTATGATAATGATGATGATGATGTTGTGATGATAATGATGGCGTAGTCATGATAAGGATGATGTGATGGTAATGATGATGTTGTGGTAGTGATGTTATACAAAAATCATTATTTTAATATTCATCTGCGTTATCATCATCATCATCATCGTCCCCATCATCATCATCATCATTATTATTATTATATTTAACATCATCGTTATCATCCGTCCCATGTCCTTTCTCATTCATCGTCATCTTAATCAGAGACCGTCGTCATAATTGTCATCATCCCCAAATTGCTATCATCATCCTACTACAATCATCATTTCAATAGAATCATCATTTTTTCATCATCATCATCATCGCCCCACAACACCATCATCATCAAATTTCCATCAATGTCATCGTGACGTCACAATACGTCATCACCGCAGATCAGATACAGCAGTTAGCGTCGCTGCCGAACGGCCAGACGAGGCATGACAGCGAGCAGAGGTTACAAAAGCAGAAACAATCCATTGATCAAACCCTCAGTCAGAACGCCCAACAACTTTTGCAGATGAGGATGGTGCGTTTTTGCTGCTTCTGCTGCTGCTGCTACTACTACTGCTGCTGCTTTTGTTGTTGCTTCTGCATTAAGGATGATGTTGATGTAGTTGCACTATTAAATATCAATTAATGTTTCATATGTTTAGTGACACGTAAAGACAAACCAACTGACCAATATGCATATCACACAAAAAAAAACCGACTAACCAGCAAATCACACAACAAACAAACCAACCATCTGACCAATCAGCAAATCACACAACAAACCAACCGACCAATCAGCAACTGGCCGACAAGCATCACGAGACCTGTCAGAGGTTGTCCGAACTGCAAGCACACTTCCTGGATGATCAGCTGATTTCGTGGAAGAGGCAGCAGCAGCTTGCTGGCAATGGAACGCCATTTGATGGCAGTCTTGATACTTTACAGCAGTGGTGAGTTTTGTGGTTGGTTGGTTGATTGGTTAATTGATTCATTTATTCTTTGATTGGTTGGTCGGTTAATTCTATGTATAGTTGAATGATTTGTTGGGCGCCTGTGTGTGATTGGATAGTTGGTCGGTTGGATGTGCGATTGGTTGATTGATTAGTTGGTTGGTTATTTGATTAATTAGTTGATTGATTGTTTGATTGATTGATTGATTAATTGATTGATGTACATACAAATCCAGGTGTGAAAGTTTAGCTGAACTTATCTGGCAAAATAGGCAACAAATCAAAAAGGCAATTTCATTTTTTTTCTTCGTTCGTTCGTTCGTTCGTTCATGCACTCTTTGGATCAGTCATCTATCCAGCCATTCATTTTTCAATGACTCATGCACTCCCATATAGGTGGAGTTACTGAGAGCTCAGCTGCCAATAAACCTACCACCGGGTCGACAGGACTGCCTGCCTGTCCTCAACTCAACCATCACAGGCCTCCTGTCATCTTTGGTTACTAGGTAAAGATGATAAGCATTGTTCCATTGTTTGTTTGTTTGTTGCGTTGTTTCATCCTGTCTTTCATTCATTCGTTCGTTCATTCATTCGTTCGTTCGTTCATTCATTCGTTCATTCATTCATTCGTTCGTTCATTCATTCGTTCATTCATTCAACCTTTTGTTCGTTCCTTCGTTCTCATTCTTCTTCGTTATTCAAAGCTATCGTTGTTAATTGACTGACCCAGACTCTTTCGTTCATTTAGTCATTTCTTCATCCATTCGTTTATTCATTCATTCATTCATCTATCGTTAAGTTCATTTATTCATTTAGTCATTTCTTCATCCTTTCGTTTATTCATTCATTCAGTCATCCATCATTCATTTAGTCATTGCTAATTGCCTTACACACGCACGCACACCCCACCCACAGCACTTTCATAATAGAGAAACAGCCGCCTCAAGTCTTGAAGAAAGATTCTCGCTTCACTGCAACCGTCCGCCTGCTTGTTGGAGGCAAGTTGAACGTCCACATGAACCCGCCCACCGTCAAGGCCACCATCATTAGGTCTGCTGCTGCTGGTCGCTTTTGTCGTTGTTGTAGTGGCCACTGTAGTTAAGTCAGATCTTCCTCCTTGTTGCTTCTGTTGAGGCCACCTTAACTTGATAAAGCAGGCCAAGTCGTTTTCGTTGTTGAGATCTCGTTGTCGTATGTAGGTCGAATCATGTTTGCTGTTCGTTGGTGTTGCTGCTGCTGTTTAGCTTTGTTGGTTTGCAATGGCACTACGATTATTTCTCTCTCAAACACGTACTCACACACACGCACATACAAACACTCACACACACGCACATACAAACACGCACGCAAAAACAGCGAAGAACAAGCCCGCATATTGCTCAAGAACGACAAAAACATTCGTAACGAAACGAGTGGCGATATCTTGAACAACATGGGCTCCATGGAGTACCACCAGGCCAATGGCCAGTTGTCAATCACTTTCCGAAATATGGTACGTAGGTCGGCTTGTTATGGCTTATAGAAAATATGGTATGTAGGAATGCATTTGATGTTGTACAGTGTACGTACATGTACATGAATGTATGTGGTGCACAACTGCACACATAGCAAACGTTAATGTTCATTTACCAACATGCTTCTTACAATGTACCAAGTGGTAGATTGTGATCTTCTTAAATTCGAACCTCTTCATTGTAACTTAGAAACAGAGCCTGCACTATCAATCAAGCCAATGGACAGCTCTCAATCACTTATTTGTTTTAGGAATTTTTTAATTTATTTTTTTAAATAGAATGATAATAATGTTTCATAATTTATATGGGGTTGTTTATCATGAAGGCTTTGAAAAGAATTAGAAGGGCTGAGAAGAAAGGAAATGAGGTTGACATGATTTAGTTTATTCGTTTATTCATTCGTTCATTCATTCATTCATTCGTTCGTTCATTCATTCGTTCATTCATTCATTCACAATAATGCAGACAGTTACAGAGGAAAAGTTTTCCATCTTATTTCAGAGTCAGTTTTCAGTCGGGGGTGGTGAACTTGTTTTTCAAGTTTGGGTGAGTTAAGTTAGTTAATGTTTGTACATACATACATACATACACACAGCCGCAGACATACGCATGCACGCACGCACACATACATGCATAAATACACACATACATACATAAATACACACATGCATACACAGACTTTATCCTTACCTGTTGTGGTTACAGTGCATGGAAATCAAGAGTGCAATGCCCTAGCTACTATACTTTGGGATAATGCTTTTGCTGAACCTGTAAGCCGATTGATTTATTGATTGGTTGGTTGATTGACTGATTGATTGATTGAGCGATCGATTGTTAAATACATCAACAATGACGTCACAAAAGGGCCGCCTGCCATTTTTAGTGCCCGAAAAAGTCCCCTGGCCCAGTTTGGCCCAAACTCTGATGACGAAATTTGCATCTCACTGTGGCTTAGGCCTGTCGGTTGATAATTTGAATTACCTGGCTTTCAAGTTGCTTGGGCCTGCCGATGATTACTCTAATTTGTTCGTCACCTGGTCACAGTTTAATAGGGTTAGTTTGGTTGCGGGTTGTGGTGGTGGTTGTCGGTACCTCCATCTTTGCCGTTATTTTCATTTGTAGTGTTATTTGTTTCATCGTCATCTCTATCTATGTTATAACGCCTGTCTCATTATATTTTGTAAACTTAATCACCACCAGCATCACTAAGATCATCATCGTCGTCATCATCATCCTCACCATCGTTCTTCCAGGAACCTCTGACGGGGCGAAACTTCACATTTTGGGAATGGTTCTACTCCATATTGAAACTGACGAAGGATTGGCTGCAGGGACCATGGAAGGATAGGTTGGCTACTGTTATCATCGTCTCGTCTACATCATCATCATCTTCTTCTTATTTTCTCTATCTATCACCATAATTTTTTTCATCATCACTTTACCATCACGCACATGACAGGTTAATAACAGGCTTCATAAGCAAGCAGCTGGCGCAGGATTGGCTGATGAAAAGTCCAAATGGGACCTTCCTTCTACGCTTCAGTGACTCAGAACTGGGTGGCATTACGATAGCCTGGGTGGCTGAAGACCCTAATAAACCTAGTAAGTCTACGTATACAAGTTTACACACACGTACATACACACACACAAACATACATACACACACACACACATACGTACATACATACATACATAGATTCTTGTTTATGCTGTTAGCGTTCATGTAGCTAGTTAATTAGTTGTTTTTCGTAATAAGCAATAAAAACGAAACGAAACGATTAAAACGAAACGAAACGATCACGTACAATAACAAACAAAGTAGGTGAACGTAATGTTTGGAATCTGGCTCCGTTCACTGACAAACATTTCAAAATTAGAGGATTAGGCGATACGATAAAGGACCTAGACAACCTGGTCTATCTCTACCCTAACATCAACAAATCCCAATGTTTCAGTAAATTCTGGACTCAGCTGAATGGTGGGCTATTGTAATGTGTGACGATGATGTTGTTTTTTATGATGTTGTTGTGTAGTTGTTATAGTAGTTGTTGGTGTAGCTGTAGAGGTTGTGGTTGTTTTTGTTGTTGCGATGATGTCATATGTTGATTCACCGCCCTCCAGACACCAATCTAACAAAGGGTACCACGGGGTACATTAAGCCAAACTTGACGACCGTTATTCCTGGGTTTGTGCAGTACGTTACACTGAATTACATTGTATTGCATTTCCAATAAAATTGTCATCACCATCATCGTCGTCGTCGTCGTCACCATCATCGTCGTCGTCATCATCATAACGACAGACTCCTGAACAGACCGGCTGCCAGCCTAACGAACGATGAAAACGTACAAAGTCCAGACGGCCTGGATTACGTTGGTACTCCACAGAGCAATACCGAAGAGTTAGTATCATTATCATCATCACCATCCTTATTATTATTATTATTATTATTACCTTTGTTGCTGTTGTTGCTGTTGCTTTTAGTGTTATTAATGTTATTGTTGTTGTTGTAGACGAACGACAGCATTAATCATCTTCAATCGCATCATCATCAGAGTGATGTAAACAACACCTAAATCATTCATCGCGTGATAGACATCTCTGCCTTCGTCACTCCACATACAAACATCTTGACCACTTTTGCTAACGTAGGAATGGCGGGATGACTGATCTAATGGCGGAGTCATTCATGGTACCGGATTTTCCAGGGGCCGAGTACAATCCGGAGGACATCTACCAGATAAACGTCAATGAACTCTTGCAGGGATGCGAGAGAGGTAATAATTTTTAGCGATCACGTTGTGACGACGATGGTGACGTCATAATTATGAGGATGAAGAGGAAGAAGAAGAAGAAGAAGAAGAAGAAGGAGGAGGAGGAGGAGAAGGAAGAGAAGAAGTTACTGTTTGTGTTTGTGCAATCGTGTTGATCGAGAGTTGATAAGAAAATTAATTTTCAAGATATGTGATTTATTGATGTAAAGAAAGAGATAGTTATGTCAAATTTTTTATATGATTGATTGATTGATTGATTGATTGATTGATTGATTGATTGATTGATTGATTCAGTTTAGTTTACTGCTTGAAAGATTGTTGTTACACTGTACTCTACTACGTTGCTTTAAAATTTTATTTTCTGTTGAAATACCACGACGGTACATAAGCACAGTTTTTTCGTTAATAAATATAATTAACTATATTATTATAAATTCTGATATTTTCATTATTGTTTTTATTAATTTTATTTTAGTTGTTGTTTTTACTATCATATCTCATGACATACAGAAATTTGTTCTTTGATTTTCTACAATTCTTCTCGGTCATTGGTCGTCATCGTCATTATCTCTGGTTCGCTAATTATATAATTCATTAATTAGATAATTATATATATATATATATAGTTTCTATATATAGTTTCTATATATATATATAGTAATATATATATATAGTTTCATCACCATCATTATCACATTATCATCGTAGCATCTTCATTCACCTCGACAGGCTGATAAAAGTGACTTGTTTTTTTTTTCTTTGTTTATTTATTCATATACTCATAATTACAATTAATTATTATTATTTATTTATTATTATATTTTTGTTATATTAGCCTGTATGTGCTTTCAAGGAATTTTATATATATACATGTGTGAATTGAATTATCATTTTTATTATTGTTATTGTTGCTATTATTGTTATGTTTCAATATTTATTATTAACTTCAATTGTAAATTATCGTATCAATCAATCAATCATTTATTCATTCAACCAATCAATCATTCATTCATTCAACCTACCAATCATGATTTGACTGAATGTAAATTTTGTTTCGCTGATGTGATTTTATTTCTGAAAATTTTTTGATTTTACCAATATTATTGTTATTATTATTATTATATTATAGTTTGATATTGTTATTTCAGTTTACTATTATTATTGTTAATGTTGTTGCTGATATTGTTGCTCTTGTTATTATCTTTGCCAATGCTGATATATATCTTTCATTGATTTACTCATCACTATCAATTATCACCTTTATTACGATTTCTGTTTTTATTATACATTTTATCATTATTGTTGTTAATAATAATTATTACGTTGTTATTATTATTATTATTATTACTTACGATAATAATAATAATAATGTCATTATACTTTGTATTATTATTATCTTATTGTTATACAATTGTTTTTGACTTAATCTTGATATATATTTTTTTCTTTGTCGCTATTGCTATTGCATTTATGTATAGGTAGGAACCAATTTGAGATCCAGGTCAGAAAATATAACATGTAGCCCCTACTACATTTTGGTATTAGTACTTCAAGGGTTAAAGTACTTCAAAGTTTAAAGGTCAATTTCTCTTCTGCACCTGCTTCAGAGGTTTAGAGAGGCCTTTTTTAGAGACGGCCCATGTCAAATAACCAGGGCCTGAATGTATCTATTATTTTCCGGTAATATTACAAACATAATAGTTGTAATAATTATTGTTATATTAACTATAGTTATTACAATAATTATAATTATAGCTATTATTACAATAATTATGATTATTGTTGTTATTCAGTTTTTGAGTTTTCAATATTTATCTCTGGCATTGGTTGCTTGATATTGTCTATGAATAGAAATGCTGTGTTCTCTTCATTAATAGCTATTATTATTGTTGTTAATGTTATTATTAATATTATTGTTATAGTGACATCATCATTATTATTATATTTATTTTTATTGATATTCGACTTAAACGTTTTAATTAGCGCCCTTTAAACCAAACCACACCACACTATTGTTTTAAACTACCTTTAATTATTATTATTTTGTTGTTGTTAATAATAATCATTAATTTACATAATAATAATTAAAAAATATAATATTAATGACAATTTTTTTTCTCCAACCTTCATATTTTAAAAACTCTGTTGCATTTACACTACAAGACAATTGACGTTAACAATTTATGAACGTTTGTTTTTTTTTCTTCAATTTTTTTAAAAGTCCAAAATGGAATCAAAGACGTACATACATACACACATATACAAACATACATTTACACACACCTATACACAAGCCACACACCTATACACAAGACTTGTTAAAACCACGTGGAATGCATGGAAACAAAGGCGTACATACATACAAACATACATTTTCACACACCTACACATAAGTCACTTGTCTTGCTAAAACCACGTGGAATGCAGTTTTTTGCTTCAAATTCTTATTGTACTTATTATTATTAACTATAACACAAATTTAATACATTATGAATAGAAATAATTTCTTTCTAATATGTGAGGTTGAAAGGCATTCGTAAGTATTTGTAAAATGCACTCCTTCCTTTCGCTAGGGGAAAATTATTTTAGTGATAAATAAGTACAGCAGAGTTAATTGCGCTACACTAAGACAATCATTTAATCAAAATGGCGCCCAAGCATTTTGGCGCATACGCAAAGAGAAACGTCGGTTAGTTCACACTTTAGCACAAGTAGGAACTTTAAATTTAGAATAACGACTAGGTGCGGTCAAAAAGATTTAGGAAATTTTTCGAGTTAATTGGCCTATATAACTTAATATGGCCCCAGCCAGCTTTTTACGCGTGTATTCGCATTGTACGTTGTGCTTGTATTGCGCGTCGGATATTGTTCGAGTAAATAAAAGCGAATGAAATGAATGAACACAATTTTTAACGTTTTATTTAATCTCTAAATTAAATCATTACCATTTTATGTACGTCTACATTTACACAATTACACATTATCATTTTTCGATAACGCAAAATTCACACTAAGAACAAACCACGCTGCACCATTGTGTGACCAAATGAGGCAAGTCTTTGTCTTTAGCGTTAACCGAATCTTATCCTATATATATGTATATATAATATATATTATGTAGTCACTACCAGTCACAAAAAAAATTAATTTCAAAATTGAACCTCGAGTCTTAATTTACGAATATTTCATTTAAAATTTAATTAATAAAATAAACTAGCTAATTTGTTGATTTGAAGCCATTCACAGGGCTGATGAGAACCTGCAGAGTTGATATTTTAATCGCAAACTATGCAGGTTACATCAACCTAGCTAATGGCCACCGAACGTTAGGAACATTAGTGCAAAATCTACTACGAATAATCGATGAATCAGCCATTTTCTATGTTCGAAAAACAGCCGCCTTTACGCGGCACGTGTTTCGCACAGAAAGCGACAATGTAACGCTGGAACCCACAAAATTAAAGCAATAACATTCAACAATTAAACAAAATATTAAATTAAATTACCAAAATTACATCAACCCGAATAAAACTAACTTTATAAATAAAATTTACGACTCTCCTACGCGGAGAAGGGGACTTCCATAGGAATAAAGAAACAAGGAAAGTGAGCCAGTTTATATGGACTTATATAGCCAGCCAGCCAGTGCTTAAATGCGACCTACATTTCGACCAATAGGAACGAGAATGATTCAAAAAAACAGCGCGTAATTCTTTTTTGTTCTGAAAATTATCGCGACGCCATTGGTTGAGTTAACTAGGTCATCTTGACAAAACTCTAGCCAAATAGTACTACTCATAGCGTATGCTAATTATAATATTACTTTTCTTTGTTCTTGCCTGTATTTCGATTCTGTTCTATCGTTTCCTTTCTCTTTATTATGGGATCATATATATATATTTATATATATATATGTGTGTGTGTGTGTGTATATGTATTTATATTTCTTTCTTTATGTCTAATTTTAGCTATAAAGAGAGCTTTTTTTCTCAGAATTTGCTTCATTTCTTTGTTTTGTGACTAGTTCGTCTCGGTATATATTTTTGTTATTTTGAGCTAATGTTCATTCATTGTGCCTTTGTGACTCAAGTGTTCAACTTTATTATTAATTTTTTAATCACTTTTTGTCAATTAAATGAATAAATTCCACTCCAATGAATAAAGGAATCACGTCAAAAATGTTGTCAAATGTCACAATCCACACAAAAAATGTTCTATCTATGCAATCACTTTTGCAGGCGACAGCCACAATAATCTGTTTAAAACATTTCGTGCTTTGTCTATTTGAAGTGTTTCAACATGGAAAATTACCGAAAAATTGAGAAAATAGGCGAAGGAACTTATGGCAAAGTATATAAAGCTAAAGATCGTAGAAATGGACAATTAGTAGCCATCAAGAAAATTTTAATGTAATAAAATGACTAATTATCAAAGTTTAATAAAAAAATCCGAACCACTTCTACTATGTTTCAAAATTTACAATCAAATCAAGCCCATTTAAATTTAAAAATTTACTAATCAAATCATTTACATGACACAAACAGCGAAAAAGATGACGGCATTCCGTGCACAGCTGTAAGGGAGGTAGCTTTGTTGAAGGAACTCAAGCATGCTTCCATTGTAGAGTAATATTTGAGTCATTTTCAAAATGAATGGTATTTGATATCTATCAATTTTGTAACCATTACTTTTCATCTAGACTTTTAGATGTTATCATAACGGACACAAATATCTACTTGGCATTTGAATATTTAGACTTTGATTTGAACAAATACATGAAAAAATATGAGAATGGCTTACCTCCAAGATTAATACAAGTATGTTTTATTTTGATAGGCACTGGTTGTAAAACAAAACACTTAGTTGTTGCTTGCATAATGATTAAAATCTTGTTAGAGCTTCATGAAGCAATTATTAAAAGGATTGGTTCACTGTCATGTCAGAAAAATTGTTCATAGAGATTTGAAGCCCCAGAACATTCTAGTGGATAAAGAAGGAAATGTGAAAATTGCAGATTTTGGCTTATCTAGAAGTTTTGAGGCACAGCTGGAGACATATACACATGAAGTTATGTTAATTACACATTCACAATGTAAATAAATTTCATTCATAAAATTGAAATTTAAGGTTGTCACTTTGTGGTACAGATGTCCTGAGATACTATTGGGTTGTAAAGTTTATGGTTTTGGGGTAGATATTTGGAGTCTTGCTTGCATATTTGTAGAAATGGTAAAGAAATGAGATTTTTTATTCTGTACTTTGTTTATAAACATTGTTTTTTAAATTTTCAGTTCCAGAAGAAAACATTATTTCGAGGAGATTCAGAAATAGGCCAACTGTTTCAAATATTTCATGCACTTGGTTTGTAACCTTTAACTAAGTTATCACTCATTATGAAATCAAAATGAATGATTATTGAATGTAGACATTTATGATGTTCAAACGAATGCTTGAGTTTACACTTTAAATTATTAAAAGGCACACCAAATACAGAGAGCAACCCAAACCTCTTAAAGTTGCCTTATTTTAATGTTACGTTTCCAAAATGGCCCAAGAAACCTTTGTCAGACATCATACCAGGACTTCCAACAGAAGCCTATGTTATGCTTGAAGTATGATAAAATTATTACATAATTTAACTTATATCTAATTTTGTATTAGAAAACATGCAATTGCATCAGCTAAAATTTTACTTAATTTGTAATTTTCAATAATAATAATTTCACAAATCTTAACTTTGCCCCGAGCAGAAGATGTTACAATATGAACCAAGTCAAAGAATAACATGCGAAGACGCCCTCAGAGAACAATATTTCCAAACGACATAAAGACACACCTGTCATTTCTTTTTTCATTGAAGTATAAATTAAAAACAATCACTCGTTTATTCCAACTGTCATGTATATACATACAAAACACGCGCTTATAATATACAACTTTTCTATCAATATTCACATGCTTGTCAACGTACGAAAATAAAGGTATATACATAGGTATAATCGCAAAAATGAACGGTCATTTGCTTGTCTTGTACTAATAAACTATTTATGCCAAAATAATACTACACTTATACCACATCAAATACGTATTCATTTCGTTACATACTAACACCAAAATGTTTGCCTAGTCATGCATTAATCTCATTATCAACGTATCGTTAAGTGTTACATTTGTAATGAATGCTATGAATGTACTGCATCCAGTAAACATCATCCCATCTGAGATATAAAATATCCTGTGGTTGTATCTTGCAAATGTTATCAATAGTCTGATCTCCTTCTTTTACCACCAATGTCATTCTGTTCAAAATAATTACATTGGTAAGTTTATTAAAGTTTAATATAGCAATGTAATTCAGCTGGTTTGTTACAAATTGCAGTAGTAAATTTATAAACACACAGAAAGATGAAGCTATGAACTAATGTAGACAAATTTATGAAAAATGATTACAAAACTGACAACTATGCAATCTGCAAAACAGTGAGAGATGACGATAACATGAATGAACATGTTTGAATGTGAATTACATTACTAAATCTGTTTTGTCTTTTTCTAGGAGGACCATCTTGAAACTTCAGGTGATAAAAAAATCAACAGTTAATCAATAAATTTTTGCATAAGAATATTCAAAATATGCAATGATGATAACGAAAAGTGCAAATTAACAAAAACTATCATATTCACCCTTCTATATATCTTTACAAGATGTTCAGGAAGATGGTAGTACCTGCAATCATCAAACTTGCACTTCTGCCTCAAGTTATTCAGACAGATTGTTACTCTGTTGTCTCTGTCCACCTGTAAGTTGGAAGGTGGGTGAGCGAACCTGCACTCCGAACGATTGCAGTTGTCGTTTAGAAAGTCGCGACATACCTATTGCATATATAAGTAGGAAATGTTTGAAAAATTAAAATTTAATTCAAAAACAGAAGTATGGAATTCAAAAATCTGTCACACATAAACACCCATACACATCCAAAAAACAGGTAAATAAGATAAAAACCTCAAATGTATCATCCCTCCTACTTGGAGAAGACTCTCTGGACCAACTGTCTCTATCCCCAGATCTATAACTGGAGTCGTAATTGTTATTTCTGAAGTCACTGTCTTGTCTGAAACCATCATCATTTCTGTAGTCAAGAAAGTTGTTGTTGCTACCGGTGTTGTCGTAGAAGCTCTGTTGAGCTAATGGGTCCATGTTGCCATTGTTGCTATTGCCATTGTTGTCTAGGGCCCCTTTTAACCCACTCAACAATTGCTCCTGTGTAGGAATATGATGGCCATGAACAGATGAATGGATGGAGGTTTTAAAAGACAAATGGATAAACATACAAATAATGTGAATAAAAAAATATACAAATGAATACACTGGCAAAAGTGACAAAAATTACTGAAAATGAAAAATTAAAAAAAAAAACAAACAAAAATTCAGTAGAAAAAATTAACTTTCAAAATAAGCAGCTGAGGAATCATACTGTTGATGACAATATTCTCCAATAACTTCTCCTTCATGTCACTTTGGTCTCTCTCATCATGATCATTATAGAAATTTGTGTCTCTGTGAAAATCATCTTGAAACCTAGGAGATCTAGAACGATCTCTGGAACCTCTGCTGTATGAAGAAGATCTTCTACGATCATTTTCAAGTCGACCACTTGCTGTCACTCTTTTAACTCTACCCTTCAGATGTTGTGGGGGATGGAAGTAACGACAGGGTGGATCTTCTCTGTTGCATTTGCCCTGCATTTGATAATAGGCCTTGAGATGTAAATTATGCAAACAATTGATGGTAAAAATTATTAAAAATATTCTAATAGTAAAAGTAATTACTATATTGTACATATTCAGAAATTGTTAATTCATATATGAAAGCTTGAGCATCATCAACACAAGTCACAAAAATAGCAATCCAGCTCAAGAGCAAGCAACACATTGCCATGAAAGCCATAATCTAATCAGGTCAAAAACAGTTTGACGCATGCCTAAAATGTTTGTTTATTATATCAATTATTAAGCCTCCAAAAACATTAGGCACAATTAAACAAAATGTTTTGGCTGCTGCAAGAAAACCTGCAAAGAGTCTGCACAACAGATAACCATCCCATTTGATATTCTGATGTTTTCAGGTGGATGGGCAAATCTGCAAGAATTTTCATCCCGGTTGCATTTGTTGTCAATATAATCTCTACAGACTTCCAGCCTGGGGTACACAGACATTTTTGCACGTAAATCAGGCAGCCCTTGGAATGTAGTTTGCAGTAGCTGCTGTTCTATAATGGATAATGCGCCTAGTTACTAGTGTATGAGCACACTTGCATTACAATTGTAACAATGGCCAACAGGTCAGCTTGCAAATAAATTTACAGTCAGTAGCTGATGATACTGATACCTAATAAAATTTTTATGAAGGTTCTTAATACATTCAAAAAAAAGAATAAAAAAAAATAATGCAAAATGCTTAGGTTGGATGTTAGTAGCTTCATAATATGCCTCTTAACTTAAAAACAGTCTCAACTCATAATAATTGGCTTTTAATTAATTAAAACAGGCTTCTTACTTAATTTAAGACAATCAGAGGTACAGATAAGAAACAGATCTCAATAACAAATTAATTAAGTAATGAATTAAATAAAAAATTTTATTAAAAGTTATTTCTGATTTAGCTAGAAAATGGATAGCAGTAGTCTAGTAGAGTAGAGTAGATCAGCCACAGGCCCATAGCATACAGAGATCAAGTCTCAAGTGAATAGCTAACAAATCTCAATTTGTGACATTATAAATTTTAAAATTTGTCTAATCTAATCCATAAAATTTATTTTTGTTGTAACTAATAGATATAAAAAAAATAATATAAAAAATAAACAAACGAAATGTAATCTAACAAAACAAATCTTGCGAATAATCAGGAGCAAGAGAGTGTTAGGCGAACAAGACGGACATTTTCTTAGGCGAATCTTAACAACATCAACTTAAAATAAACACTGGACAGCGCCTAATTTTGATTAGATATCATTTGTTGTTAACCTTAACCATTCATAAAGGATAGTTGTTTTTTTTTCATTCATGTGTTTTAATTAAAATATTGTATATATAAAACACAACTGCGACTAAATACACATGTATTTTTATTAAGAACGCAAAAATTTGTGATATAATGATTAATTTACATAGATGGAAAATATTGAAGTATTATTGTAGTTGTAAAAATTGGGTTGTATACCGCGAGCATGTATCACTGTGGTTGTAAAATATTTGGGTTGTAAAACAGGAGGAAATGACGTACGCTATGTTTTAAGAGTGCATGCCATCCCTATTAGAATTGCATTTCATGTGCTTGTTCGTGTCCAACTCTTCATGCACATGCTTGAAATCTTTTATTCGTAGCTGGATTATTTCTCGCTCGAAGTTAAAATTTCAAACTTGGGATTAAATTGTTACTAATTCATTCCTAATTTTTTACGAATTTTTCCGGATAAGAATTCTCGAACGTTGTCTACGTTATCCTGCGACTTTGTGCCATTCTATGTTGATCGACGCCGCACGCACTGCGTATGTCGTAATGTCTTGTTAGCCAACGAGAAAGAAGAAAGAAACAGACCGTGCGTTAAGTAGGTGAAGAACGCCATATTGTATTTATTTCGCTGGAATTATTTGCCGATTTTCAACTTGAATCGCTCTGACAGCCATCTAAAGGTCAATATCCCTGTTTAAATTAACTTTGAAGAGACCAAATTCCATTGCAGTGCACTAACAGATGTTTTGTTGGTCCAGACCTCTTCTGCTAGCTTCGTCCTCTTCCTCCTAAACACGTGGTTCGTTTGCTTCATAATTTTTTTTGTTAAATTTTCAATTAAACAAGTTCTTAAAATAATTTTTAAAGATTTATCATGAATTTTTAAAATTTTGCCCACTAGGTTGATCTTGTGTGTGTTTTTCAATTTAAACTGCAACAAGTTATTCTTCACTGAATTCTACAAAAATCTGAGTTGTTTTTTAATATATTACCAAAAATGACATCAAGTGTTGAAGCTCTAAAGTGCAACACTACCGTAGAAAATATGGATGACTGCACCACTAAGGATGATTTAAAGTCCACAGAACAACTTCCAGACTCAACAACATCTGAACAAAATGATGACAATGCAGATTTCAGCAAAGTTAAAAGAAAATCCAGTAAGACCCATGGCGACTCCAAACATTCACATTCATCTAAGAAAGACATCACAAATCTCTCTGTACCTCAGGGAAAGGATCAAGCCAAGCAATCTCCACACAGTGAAACTGATGATGAGAAAAAATGCCCTAAAAAGGATGGGCAAAACAAGAAACCACCATCGTCACCAGCCAGCATCAAATCATCTCAACAACCACCTCAACAACAGGGTAACACGAAAGTCTTTGGAAAAGATTATGTTGAGGCCCCAGTTCCCAAAACAAATGCTTGGGCCACAAAACGTAGTCACGTGATGTCATCAGTCGAAACCACAGCTAAAGAAACTTCTTTGGAGGAAACTTGTAACAGCATCTCCCTTAAAAACACAAATGCAGCTGAAACAGTTGTCAGTGAAACCGGTGCATCTCGTAGTAGAGCATCTCAACAAACAGATGCTGCCATCCCATCGTCATCGTCAATCGCTGCCAACAAACCTTGCACAGAAGCTTCATCAGCCGGCAGTCCCAGAGGGCCCACAACTGGCCTAAAGGAGAGGGTTCAAAACAAACAAACTTCGGATAATCGGGCCCAGGGAGGCAGTGGAAGAAACAGAAAAAAATCCGACACCTCACCTTCATCTAGTAAGCCCAGGACCATTTCGGGTGGCGATGTAAATAAACAGTCCTCCACCAAGGGACCCAAAAAGTCCGGTGACGATAAAAAAGCAGGTCGTGGTGGAAAGTCCTCGGAAGGTAATTGGGGCAAGAACCAAAAGAGTCTGAAAACTGATCAGACAAGTAGCTCTTCTGGTGGATTGGATGATAGTTTAAGCTGGCCAAGACTAAGCGATTCAACAACACAAGATGACAATTCAGTGGCTGCTGTCACTGTAGCAGCCACTACAGCGACTATCACTACTAGTATTACCTCTACTGCTATCGATGCTTCTGCACAAGTATGTAATGTTTTGTGTACGAAATTTATCAAAATTTTGTTTTTAAAATAACTTATTATTCAATTTTTAAAACTTTTAAAGATTTCAAAATTATAAAACAATTTTTGAATAAAACAATTAAATGAAATTTTGCAGGACGAGTCAACAACGGAAGATTCCAATAAAGCATTAACAAACAACCTAGATCAACTTGAATCAGCATCAACTTCAGCTGACAGCAACAACAACATTGATAAAACTACAACAACTGATGACAACAACAAACAGCCACAAAACAAACCATCTGATGACGACGATGATAATGACGATGATGACAGACGTCGCAAAGAGGCCAGCCAATCAGAGTCAGAGAACGACAAGGCAGCAAGCACCAATCAAGTATCATCCTCGACTTCCACCTCTGCACAAACTGTCGGAAAGAAAAAGAAAAGTTTGTTTTTTTTTCTTTCTTGCTGTTCGTCTATCTAGCATTTTTTGTTTGTTTTCATCAGTAACTTGACTTTGATTTGCCTTGTGATATTTTGGATTACTGCTCAGTCATTTATTTTTATTCCCAAACCAGAAAACAAACAAGTCTGGAAAACACTAGTCGTTGACCTGCCCAAACCTGAACGTCGAAGGAGAGGCGGTGAAGGAGGTCGTGGTCTCCGGGGAGGAAGAGAAGGAGGCAGTACAGGTGGGTCCACAGGGGGAGACTACAACAACAACAGGGATTACAGGTCCAACAACTATGATGACCACAACAGTGGTGGTGGTCCGCCAAGAAGGCTTCCATTCAGGAGGCAGAACAACTGGTCTGATGGTTATAGAGATAGAGATAACAATAACAGAGAGAGTAACAGGAGAGATGATGGTGGAGATGGTGGGGCCGTTGGTGGTGGTGGTACTGGACTGGGCGCTATTGGATCAAATAGGAGATACAGGGGAAGGGGTGGGTATAGTGGCCTTATTTTAAAATAAAATTTTTCTAAAACATTCAAGTTACTCTAACGACATTTAATATATGCTTGATCGAAAAAATTAGATCTTAACTCTTAAAAAAAACCAATAAAATCTCAACAGACCAACAGCAGCAGCACGACAACACCAACAAACCATCATCAGCAACATCAACGTCACAGCAGCAAGGATGGGACAAAGACGGAAACACGTCTGACAACAAACAGCACCAGCAGCATTACCATTCAAATAATAATCGTGGTTACAGAGGTTCTGGATCTAGAAGAGGGTACGGCAGAGGTCGGGGCTATCTAGGCAATAGAGATTATAGAGGAGGTGCAAATTATGCCCCTAGGAGTAATGGTTGGTCAAGAGAATATATGGTCAATATTTTATTAAATATTTAATTAGCTCTTGTCTGATTGGCTGTTGTTATTTTACGTATTCTATTTGGGTTTATTTAGCTCTACAACACCATTATTTACTCTATTACAGATCAACAACATCAGCAACAGCAGTCGGGAACTTCAGCAGGAGGACCGATGTCCCATCAGCCATTTTTTGTAAATCCGGTATTTTTCCCGCCGTCGCATGCCACGGCGACGCCATCGTCTGTCTCCACCAACTTCAACGTCTTCAATAGCCCCGTGTACTTCGAGCCCACGCTACCACTGCAGATACAACATCAGATGTTAGTTTTTGCTGTTTGTTTGTGCGTGTGTGTGCCAGTGTGTAAGTGTGTATACATGTATGTACGCCAGTTGGTTTTGTATGTTGTGTGCCTTTTGAGTTTTGTACATTCTTGTTGATGCTTGTATTTGTTTTTATATGTGTGACTTATTTTTCATGTGGGATTTGCTTTTATTGAATCTGTAGTACACTGATATCATAAGATAGTGTTGTGAATGTTTCTAATGCATGAATTAGAAAAAAATTGTTTTGAAATTCAAACGTAGATGATGAGCATAGCCTATGGGTGAATAATGATGATGCATAATCTCAAATTCATTAATGCAAATTTGAGTGTGGGAAAAAGTGAGAGAGATAAGTTCAACATAAAAATATGATAGAAAAAATATTGTAGGATGTTAATTTGCAGCTTTTTTATTAGACTCTAAGTTAATTTAAATAATTCTAATCAAGTCATACTGATTTATATGTGCATACAATCTGTACAAAAAG